CCCTCCCACCCAGCCACCATTTCACCACTGCTTCCGCTGCAGCAGCAGCCAGGATCTCTGGGCTCTTCCCTCCTCCAGCTTTCACAGTCTGCACTGCAGTGAAGTGCAGCATGCAGTGCCAGGGAACCCAAGGCCCGGGGCCATTTTGCCTTGCTCTGAAATTCCTGGCCTCCATACCAGTCCCGTGGCGGGGGAGACAGGGAGGAGGGTGGGGTAAAGCTAACCCAGGAATGAATTTGGTCCAGGAAGTTTCTTTCTTTCATTTATTTAGTTGTTTTTGCTTCCCCCCTCAATCGCTCTCAACTTCTTCTGTCTTCCTTGCATCCCCTTTCTACTATGGCAACCTCTCCCTCTTTTAATTCCTCATTAATCCTTTTGGTAACATTCCCTGAAGGGTTGCACCATTGTCTGCCTGTGGACTGGACTCCCTACGAGAGCCTCCTAGTTAGCTTCCCACTTCGACTTCCAGTGGGAGGATCTCAGCGACACGCTGACTTTATGGAAATGGGAGACTGCTTCCTAGTTTGCTCTTGCAGCAATACAACTGAGGGCAAGCGAAACTCGGGGGCATCCAAAACCCAAGCCTCTGGGCATGGGCCTGCACATAGGATGCCCGCCAAAGGATCTGGAAGAACCTGAAGCCCCAAGTAGGGGTGAAGGATGCTTGCCGGTAGCAGGGCTACGCATGGTTCTTGAATGATTCGCATGGATTTGGAATTGACTTGGCTGATTTGACTTGGGACATGAAAAATTTTCCATTAAAAAAAAAAAAAAAAAAAGAGTGTGTGTGTGTGTACACACACACACACTTTTTTATTTTTTAGATAATATATATCTTATTCCTTCCCAGACCAGTGTCACACACTGCGTGTGTCCTCAGGGGCTGGGGGATTGCAGGGAGCAGTATAAACGCTGTCTGAGGGCACTTTCCACTGCCAGAGGAGACATGAATCTCGACAAGTGTTTGTACAACGTTGGGAACATGAGGAGCGCTCTAAGTACCGAGGGTTGACATTCAGATAAACACTTTAATAGAGTATCTTCCCATTTTGTGTTCCTAATGAGAACAGCTATTAAAGAAATATGATATTAATCTTGATGGGAACTATAAGTCCTCAAAAACATTCAAGGGGCTATCAATTCAAATCTGTAGGCTGGATACAGCTTCTCCTCCCCATGGCTTTCCAGCAAGCAGAGGAGAAGGGCAGTAACCCAGGCATTTAGTAGAGTTTACTGGAAAGAGATTTTTATATCACGGTCTTTGAGTGGCAATGAACTTATGTTGTAAACAGAAGCTTTCTGGATTTTTATAGTATCGTAAACATACACGGCTCTGTACAACAAACGAAAGGAGTTGTACAAACATGCAAGCTGCTGTGCAGAGCAGGGAAGCAAGAGGCAAGGGACTAGTACAATACACAGCCAAGCACATGAAGCGTAGATAGTGTGACAAAAGCTTACGGATGCAAGCATGGTGTTGATTATAGCCTTGTTAGTCTAAGGATGTCGGCAGACAAGGTTCTTTGGGTAGATGGGATATCTTTTATTAGACCAACTAAATAGTTGGAAAAATTGTTCTTTGCAAGCTTTTGGGCACAAACACCCTTCAGGCAAGGTGTGGCTTAAGGGGTTCTTGAAAGGATGCCTGGGAGCCATCCTGTGAGTTTCTCAGCACCCTTCTCTCTGAAGTTAATGATACTTGAAGGTTCAAGTGATTTATTCCTTAAGTATTTGCAAGGACAAGGACTGGTGTGACAGAATTTCATGACTCGAATAACTAGGGCTGTTCAGCAGGTGAAAGTCACAGAATAAGTCTTTTAAACAAACTTGATCTGCTTGGTTCTTTTGTTCTGGCTGAGTCCATGTGACACAGGATAGGTGAACTCCTGGATGAAGTACCTTGGTCCCATAACGCTCTGAAACTTGTGATCTAAACACAAAGCATTGAGTAGAATTAGTGAGGCTAAAATTTGAAGTGTGCATGCACACACGCACACACTTTTGCATCAGTCCCATTAATCTATTTCCAGCTTCCTGTCATCATTTCCTTATCACCACTAACTACAAAAGTATTTCCCTGTAAACGGAAGTTTTCTCTTTCCTAATCAGCATCTTCCTTCTCCAGCCTGATTCATTTATTGACTCGCTTACTGATTCATTCAGTTATTTCACATCCAGGGAGCAACTGTGAGGTCGCCTATACTCAACTGTGCCATAAGAACTGTATGATTGAGAAAGAAAGAGCCTGGCGGTAAAAGGGAAAAAGCTTCTGTTTACCCATAAACACCAGATAACCAGCAGTGGTGGGGGATGAAAGTCAGAGAACATTCAGAGTTTAATGAGGTTGTGATCAAATATTAACATTTTAAGAGCTTACTGGAGCTTAATTGCAGCTTGTTTAGGCTGTGAGTGGCGTGTTTTTTTACTGGAAGGCCATGTCAAATAATATATTGATTGACTGAGGGGAAAATTCAAAGGGAAATGTGCCCTAGTTCTGGGGATTTACTTTTATTTTATATAAATAATAAATGACCTTGCAGCTATTAGTTGACCTTGGGCTGTGGTCTTGAGAGATGAGCACTTGGATGTGAGATACACAGGGGAGCTCAGGTACTGTAGAAAGTGGTTTTTCGATTAATAGGAGCACTGGGATTTGCCAGTCTGAATCAGGCCAGTAGGCCATCTAGGATCTTATTCAACAGTGCTGAAACCAAGTAATACAGAGAAGTTCATAATACATAAATGTGGCATAAAACGTCAAAGCGGCGGCTTCTTACTCTTGGCTGCTGAGTGAGGACTTGTGTCCTGGCTCATATGCTCTTCGTATGTTTTATCCTGTCTGCAGCCCTGAATATTCGTACTGTTCATGGGAAGGCCTCGACCGACTCTGTAATCCTGACTTCAGCAAAGTCTCTTGTAGAAGGTTGTTCCGTGAGTGTACAAAAAACTAGAACTCTTGGTTCCAAAGCGATACCTTTTATTAGACCAACTGGAAAATGGCAAGAAAATTGTCCTTTTCTGCAAGCTTTCAGGATCAAAGTCCTTTTGTGAGGCTCTGGGAAAAGTGTAGATGGTACAAGATGGTGAAAAGTCCCCATAGGTAGGAAATAAACTTTATTTTTGCACGGGGGAGCTGAAGACGGAAGTCTGTCTGTCTGGGTCCGTGAGAGTGTCCTTGTGAGCTGTGTTGAGTAGCTCTTCAGTGTTAATTTTATGTTGTGCAAAGTAGTTCAATAGCTGCTGTCTTTGCTGAGTCAGAATAGAACAAAAAGCGATGGGAAACCCTAGACTGCTGGAGAACTAAAATGCGAGCGATCATTAAAGTGCGAGTATCTTGAATAAACATAAGTGCAGGCTTTACAGACTTTTATGAATTAAGCCTCCTACCGCTGCAGTGAGTGAAGGAATCACTGCAGGTAGGCGTCTGGGGCAGAAGATGCTAAGTGTGTTCTCCAGGTCTCACAGTAAATTGTTGGCAGTGGCACAAGTAGCATTTCCTGGTTTCCAAGAGATCCCTTCATTCCTTTTTTGGATCCTGGCTTACTTTTAAAACTTTCCTGTTGTTCAGTAAATGTGGCTGTCAGGAATATTTAGCCTGAGCGCCAACTGGAGTATGTTTGTAAAGCAAATGAAAGATGCTCTACATGTGGAACGTTGCTGTTAATAATGAGAAGTTGCAGTAGCAGCCTTTGTAGCCTGTATGTGTGTGCTTTGGATCGCAGAGAGGAGATGATTTGAAATTGATCTTTTCCTTTTCCTTTTCCTTTTCCTTCAGGGGTGCATTTTCTGAAGTCGTTTTGGCGGAAGAGAGAGCAAGTGGAAAACTATTTGCAGTCAAGTGCATTCCCAAGAAAGCACTGAAGGGGAAGGAAAGCAGCATAGAGAACGAAATTGCAGTCTTGAGAAAGTAAGTATCAGCTACACACATCTCCTTTAGCGGTTAGATTAGCAGATCAGTCTGCTCTATGGCCAGTGAGTGAGAACTGCAATTTGATGCATGTGACCCAGTAGCTCAGCCTATCGCAGAGGGCTGGGAATATCTGAGCATAAAATACTTGCTGCATTTGGTTTTAAAATTGCCTATTTTTCTTGTGCATTAATGGAGCCAGACTAATGCATGGTGGGAGAGACAGCCTATGGGTGTACAGTATAATGTTCTCTAAATCAGTGGGGGCCAACCTTGTTGGCAGGCAGGTCACAGATTAGCCCTTCACCTTCCCTGGATGTCACTCTGATCCCCTGTCCTTGCTCAATCTGTTGCTCTGTTTTCTGCTCACTGTCCGATCTATTGCTATTGCTGTGTTCTGCTTCCTTCCCTGGGCTCCCTGTCCAATCTACTGCTCTGCTTTCTGCTTCCTGTCTTATCTGCCACTGTACACCCTATCCCCTCCCTGATCTGCCGCATACTGTATATAGCATTTTGTCCATCTCTGCCCTAAATAATCCTGATGTCACTGAAATTATTAACAGTTTGGCCATGGGTTTCGGTGGGGGCCAGATCAGCTTTAACATAATCGTGAGCCATCCTTACAACATAGGATGCAGATGTGTGACAGTACCATGAAGATTAACGCCTCCTTTCCCTGTTATGGAGTTCTCAGCACAACTCTGTGCCCTGTTTGTACATCCTCTCAGTTGTTACAGATGCTACTGTTCAAGGTATTCCAGCTGGGCATTTTTGCCTTAAGAAGGGATTGCTGGGAAGTACAATAGATAGAGCCACTGGGGGATCAGGCCTACATTTCTTATAAGCTCCAAGCTTTCTCTGACTCTATTAGGAAATTTGAATGCATTTTAAGAAGGGAATCAAAAGAAAAGGAGGTGTTGACTGGGGCATAGTATGGTGGAGAAGCTAGAACAAGCCCCACTGGTGTTGAGATTTCATACCCAAGCAGCAATTTCAAGTGGCATAATCTAGCAGCTTGAAACAAATGCTGTCTTGGTAGAACAGGCAGTTTTGCCTCTCGTAAGGACTGCCTTGCCTGGATCTGCCTTGAAGGATGGAGTACAGAGAAATCTTTGGGGGTCGCTTCTTGCTTTTGTTTTTTCCCTCGTTTTTCCTGTTCACTGGCAAGCTGTTTCACAAGACAACAGGAAGCAGAAGCTCAGGTTGAGCCGTCCAAGCTGCACTGGCAAAGTAGCAAGGGGGATGGAGAATACCTTATAGAGCTGCTCGGTCTGCTGCCTACTGGGTATTAGGAGTTAGCTGCAATGAGAGAGGTTTGCCCATGTCTCTCTCCTGATGTTTTGTACTTAGATATTGCTAGTTCAACTTTAGGATGTCTTTGTATTTACCCTAAAAATAGTTCCTTTTTTGCTAATAGTCCCAGTGAAGAATATGTATGTGCCACCAGGGAAAAACCACCACCTTACCACCTTAAAAAAAAACAAAAAACCAGCTGCTTCTCTCAGTTGAGGAGGCGGAAATCAGCCAGTTGCGTTATTCAGACACACTGCAATGAATTCTTCTCTGATAAGCAGATGTTGGGCATAGCTTTAAAACAAAAAAGGTGAGGCGAATCCTGAGATGCTGTTGCTAGGCTGCAGAGGTACCTCTAGTTGTCCAGCTTTTGTTTCTGGTGAGCTTAACACTAAGCCTAATCTTTAGTATACACCTCTCCTAATGATTATGTATTATACCAGAGCATTGGGCTGGTATACTTCACTCTAAGGAGTGAGAATCCTTAAGTAGGCATGTACTTGGCTAGCTGATCCCAAAGTTCATGCAAATAGGTGGAGGAGATGATAAGTATTAACTTGATTCCCTGAAAGGGAAGCACAGAGAAGGAATTCAGAGCTCATGAAAATGCCTCCCCCTGCCCTTCCAGTCTATCCATGGAGCTTGCTCAAGGCTCTGGCTTTCACCTGAGAAGACAAATGTCCATGACTAGGCTCAACTCTGCTGTGACATGAAATATCCCTGACCTCTTCAGAGGATGCTCTGTAGTAGATTTGAGTTCTCTGTCCTGCATTTGGGTGGGTGGGAAATGGTTTCTTCATCCTGGGGACGCCCTATCTTCTGGCAGTTGTCAAGCAGGGACAAGTGCTATAGTGTATCTGCATGAAAGAAACCACACCTGTCATGGCGTCATGCTTCTGTGCCATCTTCCAGCTCAAGTGAAGCTTGCTGCATTAGGCAGTTTCCTTTTGTGAGGAGGGGGTGCACCTTGAATGACACACAGGAGTTGTTGGGACCTCCAGGGCTAAAAGCAAGAGGCGTTTTGGCATAAGATTAATCTCTCCAGATGGAGCTGGACTAAGGTGACATCCTTAGCAGATGGGGACAAGAGAAGAAACTGTAAACCCCCTCTCCCCCATATCCCCTACCTTGGATTAAATTATACAACTGCTCCTGAGATGGAAGAACAAATCCCAAAATCCATGCATGTCTTTTGCATCTGCATATAATCATAGAAATGTAGGGCTGGGGTGGACCTTGAAGTTTTCTACTCCATCCCCATGCTCAAGGCAGTCATCCTGTCTAAACCATCCAAGATAAATGTTGGTCAGACTTTCACTTAGAACCTTCCAGTGACAGATTGGACAGCCATTATCTCTTCCAGTGCTTAGCTAGCACTATACTTAGAAACTTCTTCCTGGTGTCTAACATAAATCTCTGTTGTTGCAGTTTAAGCCCCTTACTTGTTCTGTCCTTTGTGGATCAAAAAACAGTGATCACTCTGCTCTGTCTTCTGTTCTCCAGATGAAATAATCCCAGTTTTTCCAGAGTCTTTCTGCCAACCCTTGAGGATCTGGCAGGCTGCGCTACATCTTATATCATACATTTGAGTGGATCATGGTATGACTTCTCTATTTAAGGTGGGTTTTATAGGCAGTGGAATCTAATGTCAAGAGCAGGGATCTGGGAACTAGCAGTCCTGTTTATATTCCTGCGTCTGCCACTGACTCTTGTCTGTGACCTTTCGTTTTTGATGGCTTAACTTGCCCAGTTGTAGTTTGTGAAACCCAATTGTTTGTTGCCTCTGAAATACACTGAGATCCTTGAATGCAGTGTTCTATGTACAGTGTCCTTGTGCATCCTTTACTTATGTCAGCAGTCCCTTTGACCTCGCTGGAGACTTCTGCCAGGCTGGACCTCAAGTGCAAACTTATTACATGTTCTTCTAAATGCTCTGTTTTTCTGAGATTCCCTTTAGAGCTGTTGGATGTCATACGCCAGCCATTACAAGGAGAGCATGCTTGTATACTGTAGAAAGCTGGTCACCTATATGGAATTTTTGGGCATATATATATGGTCTTGACCTGTTAGATGCTTTCTGGCTTTGGGCTTCTGTGCCTCTGCTGTCCGAAAATGACACATTTTACAAATGATGCTGTGCTACCAGTTGAGTTTGCAACCAGCCAACCACTCTGAATTTTTTTCTGTGCAGGCTGGGATGAATCATACACGCTCAATCACTGTATTTTTCCAGCTCAAGCTGGCAAATCTTTTCTTAAAAAGAAAAGGATGGAAGAGCCGTTAAGTGACATTAGGTCTGTCTTCATGTTTCTATACACTAGCAACCCAAGCAGCATTCTTTCAAAATGGGCATTTTTGTTTCTATTGGAATCCATAGCAAAATTTCCCATTGACTTGAATGGCGGGGGCAGAGCAGGTCCTTGAAATTACAATATGAGAAGCGAAAAATGGCTCGGCTCAGCTAGTCTGGTAGCTTCTACCTGGTAAAGGCCCGTGGCCCTGCATGCATGAGCCCAGTCCGGCACCTCTGACCAGCAGCTGGAGGCGGGGGTGGGCTGGGTACTGCTTCTCCTGGCTGGGGCAGGGATTAGCTGGGGTGGGGTGGGATGGGATGAGGGAAGTGCTCCTCTGAATGCAGGCTCCTCACGTGTGTGCATGCATGTTTGTGCATTTGGCGCCTTCCTGACTACAGCACCCTGGGCAGTCGCCCATGTCGCCCATCCATAAGGCTGGCTCTGACAAGAGGGAATTGCTCCATGTCCCCACCAGTGCCTGGGTTGTGTGCTGGGGCATGAGGATTGCCTGCTTGTGTAATTGCTCTGCTAATGATACATGATGGCACACAATGGAGAAAGCTGGCCAGAGTTGCTATACTTTGCTCTGCCAAAAATCGGGTTTCACATCAGAACCTAGGCTGCTCTGTTTTAGGTCATGCAGGGATTCAGTTGTTTTACAGCAGGAGTAGGCCACCTTTTCCAGCCTAAAATGACCCACCCTGGGTCAGAAGTGGCTGGGCAGCCACTAGGACTGTGTTGCCGTTGCCGTTTGTCTTCGCGTTGGCAATTGATGCTCATCCCGGCTGCAGCATGGGGAAGGCACCCACAGAAGGCATCTCTGGCTCACATATACTGCCGAAGCCCCACATTTGCAAGCTGGATCCAAAAGTCCCACAGGCTGGATCTGGTCTGCAGGCCATACATTGCTGACTTCTGTCCTAATGAGAGGTGTGAATTGCTACATGCCAAACTGGGGTAAGGGAAGACAGATGCTCACCATTTAGTTAGGCACCAAGGCTCCAGAGCCCAGGGAGGTTGCCAGGAAGATGCTCACAGGCTTCATAGCACTCTGGATCTGGCCTGGGATACCTCGCACCATCTAGAACTGTTGGATTCTTGAGAATGCAGGTTTTTTTCTGCTACTGGATTCCTCTGGCCATTGTGCAGTGGGTTAGAGGATGGCGGACCAGGGGTCACTTGTTTCTTTCTTTTTAATGTAGTCAGCCACTTGGAGTGGGTGGATGAACTGCACAGATCTAGTCCTCTACCACTGCAGTTGATGAGGGTTCGATAAAGGATCTGGCCTCGTGTTTCCTGTCTCCTTTTTTTCTTTTAACATCTCTGCAGGGCCAAGTATATCTTGTCTGCTACACTGGGGCAACAGCATGAACTGCTTTAGCTTGAGTCCAGGATCCCTGGTTAAGGCTATAACCAATCCCTGTCACGCACCGCAGCCCTGAAGCACATGCTCACATGGGGTGATAAACTCACTTGAATACTAAATGAAAGAAAACCTTGATAAAAAGCAGAATGTGGGAGTTTCGTATCCTTCAGATTGCTTCTGCCTTTAAAGCAAGCAGGTAAATACAATTCACTCGGCAGCTTGTGTAGAATAGTGAAACATTCTTCCATGTATGGTAATCGGGCAGGTGTGAACGTGTTGAAAGATGAATCTGCTGTTAGACAGGTTCTTGTAGAGGGTAGGTGGTGTGAAAAGAAATGTTAGACTCCAAAGAATCACCAATTTGAGGCTCTATTTCAATTGAAACAAAAACATTCTTTCTCTTTTTAAAATGCTGAGATGGAGGGAAAAGCTGCCTGATGTTCCTCTTGCTTGGTAATGTAAATCTGGAGTAACTGTGTGCCAGGCCATGAACTTAAATCTGCATAAAACCACTGCAGATGTGGAGATTCAGGCCTGCTGAGTTCAGTAGCAGACGGACAGAAGAGCAAAAAATTACCCCCCCCCCCCCAAA